ATCTCCTTGGTCCCTTCCCCCAGAGCGAGTTAAATAAAAATAAATCGTTTTCTTTTAGTAATAGTAGATCATTTTTCAAAATGGATAGAAATTGTTCCACTTAAACGCGCGTCAGCCAAAACAGTCGCAGATGCATTCTTCTTACACAGATACATTTTAAAATACGGTGCACCGATAAAAGTCATTAGCGATAACGGAAAACAATTCATTAGTCAAATATTTGAAAACATATGCAATGGACTTGGCATACGCCATATCAAAATGGTTCCGTATAGACCACAGGCTAACATAGCAGAAAGAGTTAATAAAAACATAGTAAAAATAATTCGCAGTTACGTGAGCACACACACATCACAAGCGCTGGGATGGCTACATAAATGAATTAGCTTATGCTTTAAGAACGGCACATCATGATACTACGGGAAAAACTCCAGCAGAATTATTTTTAGGCAGAAAGTTAATTACGCCTTTAGATAAATTATTCTTTGTGCAACAAAGAGAGCAGGAGTTTAAACAAAAGATGTGCAAAAGCTATTGATTGATCAGGCGCTTAAAACCTCGGATACGGCAAGAAATAGGCAGAAACTTTATATTATGATAGAAAACGCCGTGAAGCAGATTTTAAAGTTGGGGATAAAGTATTGAAGCGGAAATTTTCTTTATCAAGTGCCCCAGACAATTTTATGGCAAAGCTAGCTCCAAAGTTTGAAGGCCCCTATGTAATTCAGGAAATCAAAGGAGTAGTCTTATATCTTAAGAACGAGAGAGGGGAAATCTGTAAAGCAAGTCCCGACCAGGTGAAAAAATACTATAATCCAAATGATTTTGAAATCCTTAAAAGTTTCTTGCAGGACTCAAGTCTAAACGAAATAGAAGGGCCAGAGACTAACAACAACTATTCCACCACCCAAGAAACAGAGAACTGAAGAGAGACCTAGACCTAGCACTTCTACAACCCGGCAACCCGGACGTCGGTATCAAAAAAAAAAAAATGATTTTCAAACTCCGGCGTTTAAGAAAAACAAAAATACAGATGAACCGGGTAAAGAAACCGTGGTAAAAAAGAAAAAACACCACCTACAAAGGATAGCAGGAGAAATTACACATCAAGGAGAACGCGCACACGGCCACAGAGTCAGGTGCCAGCAAGGCCGCCGTTCCGGAAACTGAAACGCCAACAGGAGGCACAAAAATACGAGGAACAGAAGAAATTCAAGAAGGACTCCAGACCGGAGGACGTCAAGACCAGCCGTCCCAGGCAGAAACGGAAAGGCCAACAACCAGACGATTACTCCGTCAAGAGGCCAGCATGTAGAGGACGCAAAGAAAAAAGCAACGTGGACGACACTCGGAGGATCAATAAGGAGAAGATTGACATCCATGAAACCTCTAACTTGGGATCAATTAATTTTGCCAAAAAAAACGGATGACGGAGTTTCAAGCATCGAAAACTCAAAGATAAGTTAAAACCTTCTATAATTTTTTTTTCTCTTTTGTTCCGAAATGTTATGCATAAGTACGAAGTTCTATGTTTTGACGAAAGTCAATATGTCTCGGTTGAGACTTAGTTTTGTTTTACTTTATTTAGCTAAGGCAAAAGTATTATTTTCTTTTCTTTAAGTGTAAAAGCTAAAAACAAGCATTTTCTGTTGGTCGAAAGACTAATTCTGTTATGTTAAAGCCAAAATTTGGCCGAAGATAAAAATAACTTCGTATTCTTGTATTAATAAGAATTTTAGTTTCAGTGCCGCCAGCTTGGCGAAGAATGAGTAAAGTAAAAATTTATTTTCTCTTATTCATTTTATGGTAAATTGTAAAAAGCATATGTATTAAAACTTTTGTAAATGTATGTAAATACTTGAATGTTATGTAAAAGTAGAATTTAGTCTAGAAGCATAAAATTGTAGATGCTAAAAGTGAATGCTTAAAAGCAATGAAGTCAAAATTTAAGTATTAAACTGTAGATAAAGTCATGCTTTAGAGCGAAAGCCTGCATGTTTAAAGATGAATGAGGGGGAAGTTAGAATGAATGTGTTTTGTAGGGTTCTCCACCTACATTTGAATTTTTAAGAATATTAAAGTAGCTCATTGAGTTGTAGAATGTCGAGTAAGGTGTGTCTATTTGGTTGTTGAATTCTAACAAATCATGGTGGTTAGGGGAAGTGTTGTAAGACTAAAACACGAATATTCCCGTTTGACACCACACACGGTGGAGAGCCAGGGTAAAGTTAAATTAATGCTTGAAAAATTGAATGAATGTGAAGTAAGCAATAACTAAGAAAAAAGAAAAACGAATCGTTTTAAAAACAAAAATTTATTGTGTCAAGAAAGTGTAAATTATAATGTATGTAGAAAGATACTGATACTTATTCCTTCCAGATGCTGGAAGGAAAGACCAAGATTGATTGATGAAGTCCAGGAAAAGTTGCTGCTGTAAGAAGAGAGCTTTATAAGATCAACAGAATTTAGTATACAAATTTGTTACATAAGATTTTTTTTTTTTTTTTTTTTTGTGTGTAAACGAGGTTCTCGCCAGTTAGTTCAGAATTAGAGAAACTTACAACAGGTCGTTTGTAGGACCTGCTTCCAAGTTTTCCAAATTCTGGCAGCGGCAAATGTAGGGTTTATATTTATTTTAACTAACATTTATTTTAAGTTTAAACTATCTTTCCTGTCAAGCCTTACTTTCCCCTGGAACTGCCAATGCCAGAATATGTAAATTTGAGTAGAACGCGCAAGGATTCAAATTATCAGCGGAAGTATTATGATTTAAATAGAAGGAAACGAGTTCGGCGGTGTGAGATTCTTACTTAGCGAGCGCGGAGGTAGTTAGCGAGAATTGAAGAACCCCGCGTTGCGGCGGCCTATGTGCTTGGCGGGAAGTAGTGGTAATCGTTCCAGTGAGCTTCAAGTCTGCTGAATTAGCAGCGGTATTGTAAAACGCGGTGAGTTAGTTATTTTAGAGAGAGCCTCGTAGTTAGAATCTTGTCTTTAGTTTCTTTTCAGGTTATTATTTTTATTTGACTGCCGAGTTGGCACCGTCTGTAAGCGTCAAGAGAACGCAATTGCAATTTATTACGTTGAATAAAAAGGGACTTAAACCCTTCACAAGGCTCTATCTTTTATACAAGTTTTCACAGTCACCTCTTGCTTGCGTGCAAGTTGGAGGCGCGCAACGTTATAGTCGGTATGATGTTTTTAATTCGATATTCAATTTCAGTAATATTTTAATCTAATTAATTAAACGTTGGCACAATTTTTTTATAGCGGTGTTTTTATTCTCTTCTTTGCTATATGAAAGTAATAATAACCTTACTTTAATATTTTATACTCATAGTAAATGTATATATTTACACTTGCCTGCCATCTTAAAAAACGACATTTTCAACAAAAAATTAATCCGTTACTTTTAACGATATTTATTTTATTTTTTTAAGTTTTGAATACTTTACTATGCGTAAAAATAGCGTTCAAGATGGCTGATGTTTGTAAAAATCGCACCAACAATTGCGCCAACGTAAATCGCCATAAATCCGTGCAACCGTCTACCAAAGTAGTTCTGTACTCTTTACTATGCACCGTATTTTGCTTGTAGTAATTTTATTACATTTGCTTACTACATATACCTACTGTACGCTCTGTGATATATATTCATGTGTTAATTACCTCTTACACTTGTGTTGCCCATGCATTGTGCTACGTTACTGTATATGTACATTAAAGTAGCGTGTTCAGATTTATGCATTATAAAACTCTCAATTTTGAACATGCTACTGTGACTGAACATACTTAATGACTGTACGTATTATTTTTACAAGTTTCGCTATATCAAATTTGCTGTAATCAGTAAATGCCCTCTTATTTGTCATCTCAAATCTCAGCTTTGGTAAGCAAAACATTTTATACGTTAACTCTCAAGGCTACATAATAATAAATAAGAACAGTTGTCTAATTGGTAGTGCAAATAAACACACAAACTGTACCTGTAAAATGTCTGTATGTTTAACAAGCTTTGTCTTCTATCGCATTAGTGTCTTGAAACCTTCAGTTAGTTACGCTGTTATATAGTACGCTGTATGATCTTATAACACCAGCCAACAGTCAAAGCAGTGATAATGAAGAAGATAAAGCGCCTTTAATTAACCAAGAAATTAAAAGAATTGTTCAAAAATGCACAAGAACCGTCTGACTTTGCAATGCAGATTGACCTAAACGTAACACCAAGCGGCAAACTTTATGATAAGTATCGAAAAACACAACTCTTCTTACTGAAAAACTTTTATAGAGTTACATCATTCATTGTCCCAAACAATGATCACTAGCCTTTTAAAAAATCTGTACCACATACCGTAATTACGTACCATACCATCTGTTTCACGTACGTAAAAATCTGTATCATGTACTTATTAAGCAGCAATAAAATTCCTTTCAGTTAACATTTATTTCAAATCAATAAACATTCACGGAGTTTTATAAGATAATCGTGCATTTCAAACTGTCAGACTGTTAGCGAAGTTGAATTTATATCGAATGTTAAAAAAAAATTAACAGATTTATTTTACTGTTAATTATGTAGTATTTTATATATAGGACAATTTTATAGCATTTATATTGCGTGTTAAAATTCTATGATAAAAAACATTTAACAAATTTTAATTTATTATTTAATTTTAATTTTAAAATATCATGGTGACATATATCCTCAAAATTTCGCGCAAAGTATGAAATTGCTTATTTTTTTATAGAAAATACAAGAGAAAATTGAAACTTATCCTTAAATTACAAAAATGGATATTATTTAAACAATGTACAATTTTTATTATAAAATTATACATAAACTTCTGCTAATTCCGTAGCGTTATGTAATTTGTTTTCTGGATTTTTATAATAATTTTCACTCTTGTATTTTTAAAGTATAGAAAAATCTTAATAAAACTAATTCAAAGACATTTACTTCAGATTACTGTAAATCAATTGTTAACAGAAATTTATATCCTTGCCTAATGTTTCTTTATTCAGTTCAAATGGTGATTCTGGAGGCCTCCCAATAAAAGCATCTTGAGCGAAAGCTTCTTTCGTTGAATAGAAATCATTGAAGATTACTGCATAATGACTTCCCAATTTTAAGCTAAGAAAATAAAATTCAACATGATTTGAGAATGGCTGCAGACATATTCCAAAGATCCCTACACAAATATTAAAATGCAAATATTAAAATTGTAAGCAACATTTTATATCATGTAAATAAATGACGCTTTTTAAACTAATTTAAATATTTGTATACTGGTAGAAACTATAAAAATTGTTAAGTTACATAAGGAAGTCTGCCAACTAGATTAACTTAATTAACATAAATATGAAAAGTTTTTAAGAGAAGTAAAACTTTTAAGTAAACATTTTAAGAGAAGTTCATGAGGTAAAAATTTGTTATATATATATATATATATATACACCGTGTTTCAAAAAGAATATGCGTATTACAAAGTGTTATTTTGTCCAAACTATCGATCACTGCGCCTCGGCATGGCTATTGGCGAAACGAATACATAGTCTAGTTTATATTAATAGCCGCTAGATGTAAGTTGTTTTCTGTTTTGCGTGGTAACCGTCACATGTTTAAAATGACTACTCCGCAGCAAAATCATTTTGTATTCTCGAGTTTGCGAAATGCAATTCCGTGACAGTCCTAAGACGTTTCAAGTTCAGGTACCAAAGTGATCCTCCGAATGGGTGGAACCAGTGGCTTATGTATGTTACGCTAAATAACAAATAATAACCCAAAACGATATTACAGTAACAGCAAGAAAGGAAGTTTTATTACCTGGACCCATAGCTGAAAACAGAAATTTCCGGTCAGGCATAATGGAATATCCTAAGAACTGTAAGAGCCTGAAAGGAGTACTAGTAACCTCGTCCCTCTTCAACTTGTCGAAGACTGTCATCTCGGTGAGAGCTGGCAACGTAAGTGATAAAGAGAAAATCATTAAGAAAGGCCAAGTGGTTACAGAATCTACTCTAGTGATCTGCGTAAAGCGAATCAATAGTCTCTGTGTTTTCGGAGAAACTAGCATCGAAGTTATTGCAGAATGTACAACTAAGCGATGAAGAGAGAAATGCTGCTGAACGTGTCGCTCAGGAATTTCAGGATGTTTACTTCCTTGCATCTTCTGACGTAGATCGAATCACTTTGGCTGAACGTAGAATTGATACGGGAGATCGTCCACCATTTAGGCAACATCCAAGACGTCTACAGATTACTAACCTGAAAACAAATCCTTAAACTTCTAAACGACATGCAATTAAACGACGTTATTGAGCATTCAATAAGTATATTCGCCTCTTTCATCTTCCTGATCAACAAGAAAAGTGGTTCAACAAGATTTTGCGTTAACTATCCTTAGTTGAACGAGGCCACAAAGAAAGACAGCTACCCTCTTTCTAGAATTGACAATATTCTGCACACTCCTTCAAGAAGCAAATGTTTCCTAAGCTTGATTTAAAGAGTGGATATTGTTAGGTAGAGATGCACAATAGTGATCGAGAAAAAAAGGTAATTACTACCTGACAAGGACTTTGGAAGATCAAGGTTATGCCGTTTGATTTATATAATGGCCGGCGACATTCGAAACCTCGGGGAGACCGTGTTGAGAGGTCTTTTCTACGAAGGATCTTCACCTGGATGACACAATCATCGTTGACATAGGTTTTAAAGAGAATTTAGAAAATATCAGGAAGCCAAATCAAAGGAAGCCAACCTAAAATTACGTCCTACCAAATGTAAATTGTTCAGACAGGAAGTGACTCATCTCAGATATCATCTCTGCCGAAACGTGCGTACGAATCCAGTAAAAGTATAAGTAGTTAAAGATTGGATGCGCCCCAAAAATGTTCATCAGCTGAGAAGTTACCTGGAGCTTTGCACCTATTATAGACGAATTATAAAGGACTTTTCTTCCATAAGATCCCTACACAAATTGGCAGAGTGCAAGAGAAAGTTCTTCAAGGCAAAAAGAATGTGAAGATACATTTTACAAACTGAAGACGGCTTCAACGTTTGCGACAATCCTGACATATTCTTAGCTCGTCAAACCATTTATTCTTGACATACACGCGAGCAATGAGAGTGTCTGTGCTGTTTTATTCCTAAAAATAAACGACCAAGAACGTTTCAAAGCATACTGAACGAAGTCTCTATCTAGAGAGAGAGGAATTACTCTGTTAACAAAAAAGTGTTCCTCGTTATAATTAAAGTCATAGAACATTTTCGCCGTTACCTAACGGCAGAACATCCTTGCTCCGCACAGATCATGCATCGTTGACCTGATTATTAAGTTTCAGAAATCCTGAAGGCAAAACGCCGGTTGGTTACAAAGACTCCTGGAGTATAACATAACTGTCCGTGATCAGAGAGAATGGTCCCGCGTGCTTAATTTGGTAGCACGACAAGTAACAAATTCAGCATCGGCGAATCGAGACCAATGAAGTGCCGAAGAAGTCAGGAAAGACTAGTTGGAAGACGGAGGCATTAAATCCATAATTTGCTGAGTAGAGTCTTGAGATAGGAAACCTACCTGGCAGTACATTTCGATCTATAGTCCTAAGATAAAACAATTTTGGGCTCTCTGGGGACTCACTCCATATTCGAAACGGTGCCTTGCAGCCGAATTTCAAACCGGATGATGAAAAGGTTTTCCGTTGTCAGCTAATAACGTTGCATAGAGTTTGAGACTGCGTTTACTGAAGTAATGCAAGGGCAGACATGTAAGAATAGTTCCAATGTTGCGATTCCTGTGCGAAAGATCTAAAAATGACAACCGAGGAAACCTGCAACGTTACAATGGTGAAAAGGTATGGTTATGGAACTTAATTCGATGAAAAGAGTTTTCTCTTAAACTACAGTCACCCTGGGCCGTCATTACACAGTCCTAAACAGGCTGATCTTCGTCGCAATTCGAATTGGGATGTCATCAGATTCTAAAATCGTTTATTACGACAAGCTAGCCCCTTACTATGGCCATAGTACATAGTCCTCAAGACTATCGTCATTATGTATGTAAATTTTTTAATTTGTGTGCTTATTTATTGACTTAGTATTTGATTCGTTTTATGTTATTTATCGAAGTTATTGTTTTAGTATTGCATTGATTTGCTTTAGTTCTAAATATAACTTCCTGTTTAGGGATTGAACAATCTGAGATGTGTAATCCTTGAGAAGAGGAAAATGTTTCAAATTTTGAACATATTTTTATAACCAAAATTTTAGTGAAACTTTATGTGAAGCTGTATTCTTTTTAATCATGTAACATGAAAATCTTAAAAGCGAAGCTTAAATTGATGATAATCAGACTTGCAACAAAGCGTCATTTTAAGTACATGAAAGAGGAAAAACATTTTTATCATTTTATTAAAAACGTAAATATCTAATAATTATACATATATAATTTTATGTGTAATAATAAAATTACATAAGATACGATACATGTAAATTTTTATATTAACACAATCGTGTTAATTACAAAAACAACAAAGCATTTATTTTGAGTGAAAATATCCGAAAGCTGTTCAGCTTGATTCGAACTCGAAATCTAAGTTTTCACGCAAACTAAAACTTGGGGCCAAACAATCGTGCGACTTAAACCAATCTAAAATTTGAAGAATCATTAGTAATAAAAAATTCAATATATTAATTAAATGCAAAGAGAAGATAAATGAAGTCATTCTTGTTTGTCAGAGCGGAAGAATATAGTAATCTCCTTAAAACAGGAAAAAAAATATTGTATCAGATTTAGTTACTGTTAACAAACGAGGTAAAAAAAAAGGATCGCTGTCTAGCTTGTATTAAAGTGGAGAAAACATTCCATCATTTATAAAGAAATCCATCGGAAATTATGATCAAAAATAAACATAGCATTATATATTAAGTTTGTTAGTAGTAGTACTTAGAAGTATTAGTATTTAGTAGTTCTATTTAGTAGACGCCATTGCTTTTGGGGCGCGTGATTTCCATGTGCAGTTTCTTTGGCTGTCGTCAAATAAATCTCCCACAAAACTATTCCATCATGGTCAACGAGCATAACTCCTCTCGCAAACGCCACGGGCGCGTCTATGATGCACCGGCGATATGTTTCCCTCTGTAGACGGAATGCTGTAGGCGCCGCAAATAGTGAGGTATACCTTTTCGGAGATATATGCCTTCTCGTGTAGACGAACCTTTAGGTAGATGCCATAATCCAATCTAATCTCTTTAGCTCACCTCGTTTTTTATCCTCTACAAGCATATAATCTGAAGCTGCACACATCCACGTCTTTTGATACTAAATGGAAAAGGATGTAAAATTTTAGTTACCGAAAAATTTGCCTATCTTTGTTCATTTTCGGGATAAGAAACCTGTCACCTTTTATTTATTACTAGAAGCTACATATTTACTGAATCGAAAGCTCGTAGATGCTTTCTTACCAACTGATTGTATCCTTGTAGCTCTAAAATACTTAAATCGGAATTAAGTTGATACTAACAGCTTGAGAAAGAACTCAGTTTGTAGTTTTATAAGACGAAAATACATATTTTTTCTGGTTTTTAAGATTCATAAAATATTACTACGAAATCGAATTACCAAATTCTGAAATGAAAGCATATTGTTAAAACAAATATACAAGTAAACACTCAAGTATTATCTTTTTTTTTTCCCCAGAAGCTGGTTAAAGCTACGAATGCCAGTATTCCGTTCCATGCTCTATTCCAGACGATGGAATGGGATGGCTACATAATATTTTCGTTCTTTTTTCATAAAAACAAGCCAGCTTCCTCAAAAATATGTTTCACAAAATATTCCTTCATACAGGGAGTTAACTGTGATGTGCTTGTCATAATTAAATAGTTCTTTTCTATTTCTGTTTTACATGTCGAAACGGGAATATGTTTGATTTGCCATATGTTTGATTTTTCTTAAATATTATACAGACTGCATCTAGGTAACTTAATTAAAAAAACTCTGTTTTAGTAACGTGGGATATTAAAGTAGTTAGAAGCTCAGATCTTTTAAAGATAGCTTATGAATATAATTCAGTTCTTTCATATCAAATTTTAAAATTTCTTTAAAAATATTTTACAAATTACTTATTGAATCTACAACTTAAAATACTTCAAATCCTAAGAAATAAAAATCTTGAACTGTAGAATCATTAGGATTATTTAAGCAGGAAACGTGAAAAATTAGCAATACCCTTGCAAAGATTCGAATCTGGACCTCTGGAATACGCTCCGGGTGTGCTACCGTTACACCACGAAGATATGCTGGAAGGAGAGAGAAAATACCTTATAAAGTATTTATTTAGTTTATCGAACCAGTTATTTTATAATTAAGATACAATAACACGCCAAACAAATATTAATTTAGAAGTCAAACAACAAAAATCAGCGCTATATTTTCAAATTTTCCCAGGACTGACTTCTAAATTAATAGCAGTTATTTTATGTTAAGTTCTTTACTGTCATTCTCTCTTTCCATTTTCCTGCCAGAATGTAAATTTTAGTTCATGTGTGTTTAAAGGGAGTAGAAAGAGATAGCATTTAAAATAAGGTTTTGGTTGCTTAATCAGAGCGTTTTCCGCTTACAGAATGCCATGTTAATAGTTGAAATTCTACCTTAGCCGTCTGTCTTCTGCGTTGCTTTATTCTTGCCAATAGTGCTTGTCACGCCGGTATTGGATTGAGCCACCTTGCACGTGATTATTTCTGTGTAGCCTTTAGCTAAACTTTGATTACTCTTGAAATTCTGTCTTTTTCGTTACGCCATAAATGCTGGCTGGTTTTGTAAACACAAGAAGTGCCTCCTGTTCAGTTATATGAGTTCTTAATAAAAGGGTCTTTTGCATTCTTCTTACATTTCTGTGTAAATTCTAGACATATCGATAGTTCGCTTAAGTCTTTCGTAATCTTGCCTTAGCACATGCTTCCCAAGTTTATAGTGAGAAAATAATGTTAAGTAATAAAAAAATAGTTTTCTTCACTTTGAGAAGAAAAATTATTAGGTTTGGTATGGTTACCGTCGCTGTTGATAGTCGAATAGATTTTGAAAACAAAATTTTGATTTTATTTCACTAAACAAAACAGAAAATTAGATTATAATATGATACCTGAACATATTATGTTATAACTTTTAAGCGAATTTTCTGCTACAATTAATATTTTTCATTTTCTTTCCTTTTTTAAACAAAAATTACATATTATTTTCTTTCGTATAATAATTGCTATTAAAATGCTGGTATGGTAAATAACTAGGATTAAAACTTACTAAACAAAATACACATGGCGCATATTTAATTTCATTGTAAGTACGTACAGATATTCATTTTCTTTTTCATGTTAGGTGAAGAAACGTCTAGCCACGGCTTTTTTATTTATTACTTTATTTCTCATTTGTGAAGTTTATGGACTGTTTTATCACTCTGTTTACTGGTTATAGGATGAAATATATACTTTTTACAGATTTAGTATAGAAATAAATACAATGAGCATTAAATTTTAGCATTTATAGTAATATTTTCGCCTGTAATATGATATTTGTCAATAAAGTACAATAAAATTGAGAATGAGCTGGAGAAGATATCGTATCTACACGAACAAGAAATGTCATGTATACTGTAGCTTTTTGATATTAAAATCCGAACGGTTTCATTTCTAATGCTTTGGTATTAATATAATTTATAAAGATTCAAAGAAAACAAATATTTTATTGTTTTTCTATCGTTGTTTATTTTATTGTTTTATTATTTACTAGCAGCTTCGCTGCCAGCCTTCGTCTGGCTTTTAAATGTACCAGAAAAATGGCTGAAGGAAACACCAAACGTTAAATTTAAAAACTGCGTAGAATTTTACTCTGCGGAACAACTTCATAAAAAAAAAAACTTATTACGTATAACAAAATTATAATGAAATAAGCAATATCCCTTAATACAAATATTAATTATCCTGATAAATAAATTAACCAACTTCCCTTTACAAAATCTTAAGAACTCAAATGGTATAAATGTAACTAGGTTAAGAACTTTGTTTCCTAAACAAAATCACTCAAAACTTTTCAATATCTTAAAAACAGTGAAATGAGCAATAAATAACATAAATAAAAGAATAAAACAAAAAAACAAAAATTCTGAAAAGCAAAGTATAATTAATGATATTTTATCTTATATTTTCAAGAGAAAAAATTACAATGAAATAAGCTATATCCCTTAATACAAATATTAATTATCCTAAAAAAAATTAACCAACTTTCCGTTGAAGAAAAGAAATCATGAAAAACTTTTCAGTATCTTACATACAGTGAAATAAGCAAAAAATAACATGATGAAAGCAACTCAAAAAAAAACATAAAATTCCCCGCAGAATTTTACTCTGCTAAACAACTTTATCAAAAAAAATCAATAAAAATGCATTAAATATATATATATATATATATATATATATATATAATGACAATAATTATGCCAATCTCTTAAAAAACAGTGAGATAAGAAATATGATGAAAAATTGTTGCCAAACCTATATTTCTAAAAGAATGAAACTATTCAAAATGATGCGATTTCATCAAAAATCTATCAACAACAATAAGACAGGAAAATTTTTGCCAAAATAACATTTTTAAAGATGTGAGATATGAGAAGTGTACTCGGAAGCTTCATTTAAAAAATGTTTTAAAAATAAAAAATATTATCATTTTTCCAAAGTTCTTTTTGTAAAAGCAGTCGCAAGGATGAAAGTTTAACGTGTCCAAAAATCAAAGAAAAATAAACTGTACATTTTTAAAAATAAACTTTTTTAGAAAAAATCCCGTTGAAATGGTGTTAAGCTTCCTTTGTTAAATAAATTCGTATTTAATCGATTTATTGAAACACGAAATTTATTTTAAGTTCGTAAAATAGCTAAGTGCCTGCGTTTCATGACGATGTGAAAATGGAGTATGTAGAGTAAAATGTCGCTTTCCTATAGCCCATTATGTCTCAAAATGACGCGATTTCGTCACAAAACATAAAATTAAAAAAATTCTAATTCGAATTTCGAAAAAATCGCTTCGATGTGCACTGGCTCTTGTCTAGATCCACTTATGTACCAAATTGCGTAGCCGTGGGTCTTTAGCTTACGCGCAGCGCAAACGAAAGACACACACACACAGACAGACTGACTCTTTCTTTTATTATATGTAGAGATTGTGTAGGCAACGGTTATTATTTTCTCTCTGTTTCAATGATACAACTACTTAACTCAGCTTCTGTTAGGGATTAACTTAGACTATATTTAAGTTAAGAATAATAAAAAAGTTAATTGTGAAATTTAAATTTCGATCTAAATTTGTAAACAGTTTCTGATTAGATTACAGGACTAAACACAAAAGAATCCAAAGATTGAAAGATAAAACTGATAATGAACTAGATAAAGATTGAAAGTTGAACTGGTACGCAAAACTTGATTATATGGTGAGAGATAAAAACCGCGCTAAGTTTTTCGAAGACATTTCAACAGTGGCATAATGGTCCCTAGCAGATCATTATACAGAATAGTATTGTAGAATATTATGTGTAATGATCTGTATACTATATCGATATACTATATCATTATACAGAGTAGTATTGTACAATACTACTCTGTATAATGATATAGCATATCGTCTATCCTCGAGTTTATTAACCGATAACACTTAGCTACTCGCTTTTGTAATTAGACAGGAATGTTAACACAGCTTATGAGATGAAACTTGTGAGTCTGAAAAATATGAAAAGTTGCCCTATCATGATAGTGAAAATCATATTTTACTTACTTTTAATGTGCATTTTAAATATAAGGTTCACATAAAACAAAAATAAATGTTAAGGTTAATTGGTTGACTGACTGGCGAAAAAATAGATGATGGAAAAAAAAATTGTACAACCATTCCTTTCAGCGGAATCTTAATATGAGCCGAATTACCAGTGTTTAATGGTCTCTTCTGCTTGGCTCAGGCGGAAGTGGGCATTAGAAAGCCGTCTATTTCTTACATAAATTGCAGTTTATAGATTGTTAAACCTGGCTCTGAATTTATAACGCATAACATTCTAGAGAAAATAAAATCAATATATCCTGATAAATATTTTTTAAAATGCAGTGCAACTGAAAAATAGAATCTTACATGGAGCGTACACCTACAATTTAAATAGACATTAATGGCCTCAATTCTGTTTGACACTTTCCTCACTAGTGGCTAAGTGCTGAATTCTGGTAGTTCTTCTGAATGTCGAACCCAAGGGAACGGACTGGCTGCATAGTTTATTTTCTTTGTTTTCTCCTGTTTAGCGAGAACAGAAGCCAGTTCTTCACTAAGGTGTCCCTTCTCCTAGGCAAATAGCCTTCGCAGAATGTCATTCTTAGATAGCCCTAACTTCTTTGTAACTTGGAAATTACGGTTTTCAACCATACATAGAAAGGCACAGGCTTCATTTCCTTTTAAAGTATTTTTTTTTATCTTAAAAAGTTAAATGATAAAATCCAGCTTTTTAAAACTGGAATCGCGACATTTTGCAATACCTTGCAAAATTTTTACATTAAGCAAACTGGACTGGATTACGTAATGAAGGCAAAACACACTAAAGCTACTTACCTAAGGGAAGAAATGATTTCGGGGAGGACTTTACGAGTTTATTTTAAAAGTGTCTACTGATTCAGTTTATTCCTAAATTACTGCTCCTTGGAATTAAAGGTAGAATTTTTAATAATGCTTGGTGAAACAAACAATCATGTAACAGTATTTTTAAATAGCAACATTTTCTTCCCGAAAAATTACTGCATAAAAAATTTTCATATTCGTATGCAATTATACTCGTAATTATATATTTAAAAATTACAGAATTTATTCACAGTTAATACTTGTAAATATGATGCAATATAATGTAAATAATTTTTACATCAGAACCAAAACAAGGTACTCAATTTCTTCCATTAACTTACCTGAAAACAGGTCCATACACTTTTGCTAACTTGTCAAAGTCTAAATATGGTTTAGAAGTCATAAAAGGAATATAACCGACAATAGGGAGATTCCATGGACCCGGTGGTGCTTTGCTATTTCTGCCTTGCAAAATCAAATACACGATTAAAATCACGAGCACTGTAATGAGTATCAAGGTCAAACTATCCATTTTAGCAGCTTGCTGCACAGTAGAATGCACAGAATGAATTAAGTGTGCTCTCAGATTATGGTGCGATGAAAGGAGATGAGATACGAACTGATAAGAGTCGACTGTTATCAAACGATAAACACTGCGGTTAGTTTTCGGAAATTCCACCTCTTTTTGAAGAGTTAATATCACTATGAAAATATAAAATCGCGATTCTTTTTCGAATAAATGATGTTTTTGCTTTCTCTAGACAGTTTTCCATCAAAATGTTTGAAAATTAAAAGTTTTTTTGAACTCTCAAAGGAGGAGGGGAGTATCCATCTGCTTCACTAAAATAATATCGCTAGCTAACGTAAGCGCGTGAAGTGAACCTTCACACAATATTAGCATTTCAGTTACCTATAATAACACTGCAATAGCTTGTCAATGAGGCAAATTAAGTTATTTAAAAAGAAGCAAAATAATTGATCAAAATGTGATACGTTAAAAAGTAATATATCGAGCAAATAATATTCATTCATTTCTTTAAAAAATAGATCAAATGATATTCCGGTTATCGGTAAAACATTTTGCTTTCACAAAACCAAGTTGAAAAAAATAAACTGCATTAACTATTCAAAAAAGAAAAAAAAAAGAAAGCAAAATATTGAACTGTTTCATCTAACGGTGCCTGATATGCTCTACCGTGAAAAATATCTACATACACAATAAAAATTTTTAAAACGCTAAGGGGAGAGTTTATTTACAGCTGAACTGACATTATTCTAGTTGTGATTAATTTGTATAGTTAATGAATTTTAATTTAATTTCAATTCACTTGAAAGTGTGTCTCATGTATTTAATTTTTTTACCTATAAATTCATTAATTAAATAAGCTAATAAGTTTTTGATGCAAAGGAAAGACTCTGAAGCTATAGTGAAATAAGAAAATAAGCTCACTAGTTTGGGAGCTCATTTTGATAGAAATAAATTATTTTTATGCAGTGTTAATGGCTTTGTAAAATAGTGGTAGAATAATACCATTAATAATTTGAATCAAAAACGAACGAAAAAAAACAGCAAATATAATCTTCAAAAAGTGCTTTTTTTCCTAGTTATAAAACTGGTCGCTCAAGTTATGCGAATTTCGGTAATTATTGGGTCATGGCCATAATTGTAGAAAATGTAATTCTGTGAATGCTCAAATGGAATGCTAATGTTCTTTAAATCACATCATAAATTTCAAATAAATATAGTTCAACCACCTTAAAATATAAATTATCCCAAGCCAACGGTAGATAACATCAACTTGGCCTCTGAGAGCAAAAGAGATATATCAAATAGCAGGTGCCTTCCAGGCCGTTACAAGTTTACCTCAACTTGTCCAGATACAGAAAATAATTAACGTTCCACAAAAATCACGGCATTCCTCAATCGATCTACGTTACATCTTTAATGTAACTAATAATATCAGGGAAAACGATGGACCAACTATTGCTTACAGTGTTGCTAGACTTTGATGTACGAAATTTCACTACGGAGCTACATTATTTAGTCCAGAAACGCTTAGAATATCATAATAAAATGTAGGGAAATGATCGAAAAAAAATTAGCTGAAGAAACCTCACAGACACAGTAGTCCTGGAAATTTTCATCAAAAGAATGCAATTCTTTCTATACCATTAATCGATATTAGCGAAGCCAAAACATCCTATAAACAATTGCCTTTTGTAAACTTATATTTGTCTGAAGTTTCGTTCAAATCAGATTGAGCAGCAATGGAATTAATTTTGGGTCGCAGACTAACTTAGAAATTAACATTTTATCATCGTAACTCAGAAAGCCCTTAATGAAGATATCACGCTTCCTTAGCAGACAGCCCTCGGGTATTTTGTAACGGTAATCTTAATCAGATTAAAGCAACTTTAAAACCGCTAGATAAGGTTACGAATCTAAAACACGTATTCGAATATACATTATATTTCAAAATGAGCCATATTATTCCATGATGCCTTATATCAGGAATTACTCCTTTTGAATTTCTTTCAAAGTGGGGGTTGATTTGCTGTTTATATGTAAAGAACAAATACTGCTTCTGCTAAAATTACGTACTGTCAATATAACAATCCCAAAAGTATCTGATTCAGTTAAAAGATTATACAGTATTTTGAACATGTGTTTAACTTCTAAAGTTTCATCTGTACGTTTACAGGCAACTGTGAATGGTTTTTAAATGAATTAGGAATGGTTTTCTAAAGGCGACGGAGACGAAAATTAATTTTCAGGAAGCCATGGTGCAGCTTGACATGAATAAGCTGGAAGAAAACCAAGTCCCTACGATTTGCAACAGTTGAAGGCTAATGAAAAGCTGAAACTGGAATAGTTGATAAGAGATTTTGCTAATTTATTTGACGAAGCTGCAGCCTTAACTCAAATGGAAAACCATCGACGAAAAACCCGAAATAGCCTTCTGCCCAACAAGCAAAGCCCTATCGCTATGATAATGTTAAAGAAGAAATAATTTAGAAGCACATTGCGGGAATGTTAAAAAGGAAAATTATAATTCCCAACTATGCAGAAAGAAAAATAATCTACCACCGACCGATTTCAAAGCATGCAATTGATTACACAAAGTTAAATAGCATAACTAGATATCCTATTTATCTATTGACAATGACCAAGGAAACTAAAATTAACAAAATCAAAATGAAATAACGACTAAAATAACAGTAAATCAAATTAACAAAATACCTGATGACGTTAGATCTCACCTCTGGATATCTTCAAATATGGGTGAAACCGAATGATGCTCCCAAAACACTGTTTATTACCAAATCAGGCGCTTATCCCTTCCTGGGAATACCGTTTAGCTTACGCGAGGGACTCGCCACATTTTAAAGGGGCATAGATATTATACTAAGACACAAACCATTTTTAAGCACATTTATTTATTTAGATGCTACTAATGTTACTAGCGAGACTATAGACGAGCATATTCGAGATTTAAGGGAAGTGTTTTTGCTTCCAAACGAAACAGGGTTAAAAATAAATGAAACAAATGCAAATTTGCAGACCAAAGAACTTCGTTACTTGGAATATTATGTATCTCAAAAGGCCATAGGGGCAAAGGAGTCAAAAATAATTGCAATAAAATACCACCGTCCACCTAACACAAGAAAGAAGTTTGCCTCATTTTTGGATTTGTATTCCTATTATGGGAGTTTCATCAAAGATATTGCGCGTATAGGAGAACAGTTATTAAACTTAAAAAGAAAGAAAATCGGGTTTACCAGATCAGCCGAAACAACCACAGCTTTCGAAAGACTAAAAATGTTTTAATGGAAACCCCAGTCTTAAAATTCCCTGACGTCAACGGAAAATTAGAAATATCTGCAGATGCATAAGATTTCGTGGTAGGAGCCGTGATAATGCAACGTGGAAAAACCCTTGCATATTTTAGCAAGATACTTAATACAACTCAAAGGAACTTTTCACCGCTACAGAAAGGAAAATGCTAGCAGTTCTTTTGGGAGTTTAGTTTGGGAATTCACACGTAAATATTTATACAAATCATGCTCCCGTAGTCCGTTTGAATTGGGGAAGATTTATTACCAAGACTCATAAGATGGGCCCTTAAGTTACAAGAATGCAACTTAATAGTTGAACACTGTAGGAACATTTAGTTTTTCCGAAGTCAGGAAAGTGAAGAACTCCAGAATTCGTATCTTGGACCTCTCGAATATGCGTCGAATATGCTTCCAAATACACCACGAAGGCATGCAGAAAGGAGGGAGAAAATACTTTATAAAATAATCACGGGAAAGAAGACGTAGTTGCGGACTGTCGAGAGAAAAGTTAGATGACAAGGGAATGAAAGACAAGGAATTAAAAAATATTTTCGCATATTTAAAAGATCCTGATCATTTTGAACACCAGTATATGACGGCTATTAGTTACGAGGTAATTGATGATCTTTTCTTTCACTCCAAAGTAACAAATAATAATAACGAATTAAGACTGGTTATCCCAATGAGCCTAAAACTGAGTATTATGCAGGAATTGCATGATGCGGTTATTTCAGGTCATCTCGGCATAAGAAAGACAATCCAAAAAGCTTATGAAACTGTTTGTTTTCTACAGCTACAAAAATTTGTAATTGAATATGTTAAGCCCTGCAACCTTTTCCAGTTAGATAACGGTATTAATTATAGCCCAGCCGCGTAAGATTAAGAATAATAAATAACATAAAAATTACTTTCCCTAACGAATTAATAGGAATTGGCCCATTAGGTCCCTTTCCATATAGGAAGAAGGAGAAAAAATAGATATTTGTCTATAATCCCGGATCATTTTTCGAAGTGAGTAAAACTATTTTCCCTCAAAAGAGCGTCTGCTAAAATTATTTTAGATTTTTTTCTTAAATAAATTTATTTTAAAATATGGAGCTCCATTAAAAGTAATTTCAAATAATGGAAAACAGTTTATTAGTCAAATCTTCACGAATTTATGTCCAGGACTTGCAGCATTTTAAGATGGTTCCTTATCAACCGCAATCAAATACTGAAGAGCGAGAAAATACAAATGTAGTGAAAATCATTCGCAGTTATATAAAACATTATCATAAACACTAGGATAGATGCATCAATGAACTCGCATTTGCCTTTTGAAGGTGGCTGAGCGAGATATTACCAGGAAGAAGCCAGCTGAATTATTTCTAGGCAGAATGTTTATTACATCTCTTTATAAATTGATTTTGTTCAAAAGAAATCTGCAGAATTTCAGATGGCAGACGTCCAGAAACTAGTCAATGAAGCGGTCAGCAATTCAGGTATGGCTAGAAAAAGCAAAAATTTTTTTATGACTGTCCGACCTTAAGGTAAGATATAAAGTCTTGAAAATTAAAATTTTCTGTCATGTACCCCTGACGGTAAAAAGAGGAAGTTTTGTCCTAAAAGGATAATTTTTGATTGAGTGAATAAGAGGCTATCTACTGTGATACAGCTGATAGGAATCAATGAGTTCATTGACAAACACTAAATTATTACGGCCTTTTTGCGGGAATGTGATTATTTACCGCTGCCGTTTCGATGAGGCCGTTTCGTCATCGGGGTATTATAAAAATAAAATATATTAAAAAAGGCGCAATGTTAAAATTAAACATAATATAGCGTAACATTCATAGCAAAAAG